TTACTAGATATACGTCTTTTTTTTTTGCTTTCATACATGATATATATTCTATACAGGGGGCGAGGTAGGTGGAGAAGAAAATCCATATTTTCTTTTTATTTTTGTAATTTTTTTGTTTATCAATTATTTTCTATTTTAATCATGTAGTGAAAAATGTAAAGAGATTATTTTGATCTTAATAAAATTAATAAAATTAAGATAAGATATTTGACTTCTGGTCAACTGACATATTTTTGGATGAAAAACGCTAGAGATCATTTTGCTGCACATTTATTAAAAGGTTTGTAGCCAAGATTATACGATTTTAGATCTGATAGCGCATTTTTTAGAAGATTTGAGACCTTTACTCCAATTTTACATTAAAACAGAGTAGTAAATTAATGAACTCAAATATTGCTATAATGATTTCACTTTTTCTACATATTCATCTTACTCATGTTGGCAGGCATTGATATCGACGTTTCTTTATAGTCAGTAACTAGTTTGGAGTAAGAAAGTTACTTGCAACGAATTGAATATCTAATGTAAAACTCTATCGCATCTTATAACGAAAGACAAATCATTATCAAATGGCTATAAACTTTGTCACATCTTATAACATTTATCATATTGCCTATGCGGAGGAGTTTGTATTGTTTGGCTGCCTCTTTTGGGTTGTATGGCGTGAAAGGAAAGGCCGTTGAGGTGTTCGTGGTGCAGTGTAAGATTGGGTCCGAACCACCTCACTTGCACAGGGACACAGGTGGGCTCAGCGTGATGGATTTTTCTCCCCTAGGTGGCTGAATCATTGCCTTTGGACTTCAGTTTGCTAAAAATTGGGCTGCAGGTGGAGAAGTGGAGATAGATGAACAACCAGTGGTCCATAGTTTACACCCTATTTCCCTCACACCTCTTTTAGCCCAAGTAGGCACTAGTCCTTGCTACTTGCTAGCACACGCCCTTCGAGGCGGCCATCGACTTGCTTATTTCGCCACGACTCACAATCTCATAAAGTATATTTTACTTTCATAAAGTAACATTTTGATAATAAATACATTGTGATTTTTATTTATTTTGTATTATTATATTTCTCTAATATTGAACATGCGAATTAAAGTGTGTATAATAATTACAAACTGGGTGCTTGCGTGAAAAATCAGTGTGCCACAATTTATATTTTGATCATAAAATAATTTATTCATAACTAATATACAAGAGCTAACACCTTTTACTAAAAGGTTGTTGTGTTGATTATTTTAATCATAAAAATAGTTAAATGTGACACTGGTACATTTATAAGTGTATTGAATGGACGCACATTGAGTTTAATTCTATAGCGTGATCATGCAGATAATTAAATTCCACTTGATCGCCAATTATTTCATCTAAATCTGGACAAAGTTGTGTTTATCATTTAGCGAGTTTAATTGTTCTTTAATTTACCAATTGATAAGATCAATTAGATTGATCAAATATCTCGATAAGTTGGGAGGTTGAGAATAAGCGGGATAGAGAACATAAATTCGTATCGGAAATCATCGCACTTAAAAATAGGTACAGTGATTGCTTTAATCATTTTCCTATTGAACGGCTAAA